GCACTTGCCTTTCTATCTATCCCTTGCTGTGCCTTGTCTGGCACACTTACCAGAGGGTTGCAAGAGCTCAGAGTGGCGTTGGAAGCTTTCCAGAAGCAGCTGCTGGACAAACCAGGAGAAGTGGCTAATAAGGATGTTCAGCGTCCATCCCTCCATGCCACCTATAGCATTATCCATGTGGTACGCTGCTGCAGGTGAAACAGTCTTCCTCACTTCTTAATGGACAAGACACCCTGCAGGGGATGTGTTCCTGGCACTTGCAAACCATCCATGGCACCTGGAGACAAATTTCTTCTCTCATCCGCTCGGCTCTGGGACAGCTACATACCTTCTATGCAATGCTGTCTCTCATGTTCCCCACACACATCCCTTTTTCCCTCCTTTTCTACCTGTGCACGCTGTAGATGTCCTTGTAGTAGACAAGGAGAGTAGTAGCTGAACCATCCATACCAACTAATGGTAATTAATTATTCCCACTAATTGTTCTGTTTGCATCACACAGGAAAATGAGTGTAGAGTACTGACACCTTGGGATTCACACAAGACATGCAGCTTAGTGACATGCAAACACTAGTTCTTCAACTTTTTGACTTGTTTTTCAGTGGCAGTTTTCTGGCAGTAACTCATTTCGTGTGAGTTACTGTTTAGAGAAAAGCAGCAAAGCAAAACAGCAATTTGGACCACAAGATGACTCATCCTGATCTCAAACTTCTTTGCCTTTCTTTGGTCTGTGCTGGCAGACTAAAATAATCAGGACAGCAAGAACTCTGAAAAAGTCCCAGACCCTTTAGGGGACAGAGGGATGGACACCTATGATGCAAAGCCAACCCATCACACAGAGAAAGGTATTTCCTTTAATGAATATATGAATACAGGGATCATTGAAGAAACTGGTTTTGGTCAAGGACAATAAATGTATTTAAAGCATGATTGCAAGAAAACAAAAGGAAATTAAAGGCTTCATATTAGACTGTACAACACACACCTCATCTCTAGAAAGAGGGACTTTCCCTTTCTAAAATTAAGAAAATCATGGTCTGTGCCTCCAGAGGGGGAAAAGGCACCATGACTGGGTCTCACTGGCAAAACCAAATGGGAGAATAAGCAAGCACGTTTGCCCCTTGCAACAAACTGCAACAGGTAAAACTGACTCTGGATTTCTTTTGATGAAGCTACAAAGGCAATCTGGCAAACCACCCACACGTTATTCACGGACACACAAAGGTTTAGAAGAGTCCCAACAGTTTTTTTCTAAATGAAGCAATTACTCCCAAGTTTGTCTCACGATCCCACTATAAAATACTCCATGTATCATTACCTCCTTCACTGATTAGTGAAGATCAGCTCTTAAACACTGCAGGCCTAGGGTCTCTTGCAAGCTACGTCCTTCCTAGGATTTCAAGAACTGAGGACATCACTGCCAGTTCTGCAGGCAGAACCTGCCCAAGCTAGTTGGGGGGGGGGGGGGTGAGACAACTGCACGTGAAGCAGAAAGCATGGTTGCCACACACCAGTGCTGATGTTCATGATGTCCAGGGAGTAATGAAAATGCAAAGCTCAACTCAGGCTTGCACTAAAGATGCAACCACTGCAGTTAGCAGAGATCATGGGGGAAAAGAAAAAAGGGGGACTTCTCTGCCTGGAAAATTTCATGTTTGGCAAAGCTAAAACCTAAATGAGTAAAAAAAAAAAAATGAGGAAAAAAATAAAGCTAAAGCTAAATGAGTAGCCTACCCAGTGAAGAACACTATTCTTCTTTTTGTAAGAAGTGCCAGTTCCAAGCCCTGCCTAACTCTGCTTCTACCAGCCTCAGGGTGCTATTATATGAACTGAGCACAGGGTGTTAGCTCCAAGAGCTGATGCTGCTATACTTCCAGAAGTGCAGTTTTACAAAGAGAGGTGGGGGCTGAGGCTGCCCAGCAAGAGCTGTGCCCGCTGCAGAACACCATGTGGGCAGCATGGCACCATGCACTCTCTTTGAACACCCCGAGAGGGCCTCTGAGCAGATGGACACCCCAAGGACTGTGGCTGTGCTGTGGAAACGGGCAAGGAAGAAACGGAGTGGCCGTGGTGGTACTGGATGGCAGGTGTGTGGCACTCTAATCTTGCACACACTGGTGACTTGATTTTAGCAAAGGTGCTTGTAAGGCTTCAGAAGTTCACAGCATGAGGCTTGTTTGTAACTACAGTCTGTCCACACCATAGCTCGCATGGCTGTGAATTTACTGGGGTGCTGCAGCTACCTGGTCAGTCTGTAACCTCCTGGCAGTGGTGGTCCCTAAGCCCATGCAAGCTGAGACAGCGAGGATGCAGGTGAGGGAGCACGCCTATCATCTCCCCCTTTTCCCTGAGCAGAGGAACTGTGTGATGAATGTCTCAATGCACCAAATCACGTTGCTCCTCACATAGCTAATCTTCACAAGGCAGTTCAGATGAATTAGACCATGCGTCTGTGACCACTGGGTCACACCTTAGCATGGAAATTTCAGGTCAAGAGGACAAGGAAATTCTATATCCATAATATAGGAAATGCTTTCTTGACTAACAGGAAAGTGTGTAATCTTGTTCAAAAGTAATTTTTCTTCCTCCACGCTGTATTTCAGATTGCATGGAGACACCTTGTTTAAACAAGGGAGTCTATTTTTTCTGTCAAAAGCATTAACTCCTGGCTGCTTCCCACTTGAAAATTACTTAAGGAAGCATGGGGTTTTTTTCCTTTTACAATGGCAATAGAGGATATATGTAGTGGCTGTCTCCTAAAATATTAACATCCTGTCAACTCTATCAAACCTTCTGATCTTCAACTTCCCAAAAACTCCACAGGGTATCTACTCATCTTAAGCAAAAATGGATTGCAGTCAGAAGGATAGGAATTTTAACAAAGCATGATATTCCCTACTGTATTACCCAGTCCCTAGAGACATTAAAAAAAAAAACCCAGCAAAAAAAACAACCCAGCAAATGCAGCTAGCATTCTCAGAGGAACTCTGAGATCTAAGACAACACACCTGTCCTTGAGAACACATTGTACTGTGAGCAGCCTGCTTCTCCATTTGGTACCAGAATCTCTGCTGGCCAAAAAACTCACCACTCCTCTCCCAGTCCTACAGGATCACCCAGACACTCCCTGCCTTTCCTGCCTCCAGCTGGGTGCACAGATTGTCTTTCCAGTACACAGTCCCACTGGAAAAGGCAGTAAACAAAACACACAGCCAAAAGGCCAAAACACACAGCTCTGTGAAACTAAGCAGTCATCCAAGAAAGACTGAGGCAGGACTGCAAGGTTTGATGGAGTGACCCCAGGCACAGCGCAGGAAAGGTGGTTAGCAGTCACTTGGCTTCGGCAGGTTAAGATGGAGAAGCTCTGCCTGAGCCCTTGCAGCACACACTCCCAGGATCAGCACTGCGCACACTTGCACACTACACTGGCGTGTACCTTGAGCTTCTGCACACAGGGAGAGGGGAAGGGTCCTCTACTATGCCTTCCTGGAAGGCTCTGTGGCACCTCCAAATACTCTGAGCCCCTCAGCCAGCTTAAACCAAATTTAGCAGTGGCAGAAGTCTCAAAGGCATTCGGCACCTATGAGATTTTCCGTGATCTTCAGTGGCATAGTAGAGGACAAGAGACCTACTAACAAATTCTTCTGAACAGCCCAAATATAAGGAGTGCTTCAATAAAAATGCATTCATGAAAAGACAAATCCAGAAATAAAATGCTCAATATATTAGTTGCAATTTTGAAAGCATATAAAAGACAAAGGCTATTGTTCCCTGCTATTCTGAGGTTGCTGGTCTGGAATGCTACCGCTGCTTTCCAGGAGGCATCTAAGAGGCACTTCCTTCTTCTTTAAGGATTGTGCAATTTGCTGGTACCCACCTGGCACTTAACTCTTTGGAAGATCAGCACGGCAGCATGTGGAAGGGGCAGACGTGGTAGGGCCCAACTTGAAATGATAAGCGTTAAGTTGTAAGTTCTGACAGGAGAACCTACCTGCAAACTGGGTGCCTGTCTTTGTTGAAGCAAACAAGATTACAGGGCATTTGGGAGTGGGCTAAAATAACCATTCCTTGGTCAGAAATCACACAGCCTGGCAAGTCACAATGAACCCTCCAGCACATCTCTCTCAGCTTCAAATCTCTCTTGAGCACTTCAGGATTTTGTTTCCCAGTACTTCTCTGATGGACAGCAAGCAAACATCGTCCCTTTTCATAGTGGCTTCAAGAAACAAAGGCACCTACACAAATCAACAAAGATGTACCAGTGGTAGACTACCACTCCTAATAAGCAGAAGTGAACCACAATGAACAACATTGATCTAGTCATCGATGAGGAAGAGGACAGTTACTTTAAAAACCCAGTTGGTGATCTCAGTTTCTCAAGGCAGAATAAAAACACGTGGGATCAGACCCCTCCTATGCAACCAGCAGTGCATTGAGGACATGTAGGAAGCCCAGTGGTAGGCTTTGTGGCTCAGTTTTACAGCTGGAAGTGCTGGTGCTGGGTTGCATAGATGGGACATGAAGGGGGACAGGCTCACCATCTCTGGCAAGTCCCAGGACATATAGCAGTAGGAACAAATCCTTATGAGGAAAGCTGAAGGAGGTATTAGAAAACCTGGGTAAACACAAGAATTATCAGACTAGTTATGTCCTTCTCATTTCGCTAATAACACATGAGAAAGATCTACTAGAATACCCAGCATTGCTGAAAAGGCACCACAGTTGCAGTGAAATACAGCTACTTGAACTCAGATATCCAAGCAGAAAGAAAAATTGCAGAAGTGTATTCCAGGGCTTCTTTTAAAACTGCAAAACTATTGTATAAAAACATTTCCCTGTACAGTAACATTAAAATGAGAAACATTAACATCTGCACCTTGCTTCAGCTAGTATTAAATTTCATCATAGCTAATGGAAACCACCAATAGCTGCTCTAAAACAGCTGTAAAGGCAATGAAAAGGAGCTCAGTGACTCTGCAAAACTGCAGATTGCTCCTAGCTCTGTGCATCTCAAAATACCTTGTGGAGCAGAAAATCTTTTTCCCCTAGAAAGGAACAGTTTTTAAAAAAACACCAAGAGAGAACTATGTCATTTGCCTGGTTATTTGAGACCTTCCACATTTCCAGAGAGAGATTCCAGAGCTGCATGCTATGAGGAATTCTTCTTCTTGTATTTCTGGTAAGCATCCAGTATCTCCTTAACAACACTTGGATCATCAAGTGTGGTGACATCTCCCATGTTGCTTGATTGTTCAGTGACTACTTTCCTCAGCAGCCTTCTCATGATCTTCCCTGATCGGGTTTTAGGAAGGCGTTTCACCACCTGCAGAGAAGGGACAGATGCACCCATATTAGAACCTGGGTCCTGCTGGAAACCACAAGGAAATTTGGCTGAACTGCCCTAAGCCTGGCATGCTATCTCATGGCCACAGCTGCTTTAAGGCTCCTGGGAAACACTAGACCATTGAGCACATTGGTTTGTGTCCAAGGAAAGGAGTGTCACTAGCATCAATTCTTTGTGCTATAAATTTTCTTCTTATCTAAGTGGACTTTGTTCCCCATTTACTCATTGCTGTGTATCTCCAGGCTGGGTGCTGCAGGACACACAGCTTTTTGGAGAATCAGGTCCTGAATGAGCTGTTAACTATTGAACTAGAAAGCTAGTTACACTTGAAAACTCAGGCACTGATGATGACACAGATCTCAATGCATTACCAGGACGGACATTCATATTCCCCTTCACAGGGCAGGAATATGAAGCACACAATGCTGCGTGCCAACCACAGGGTCTCCTACTCAAGGGATAACTCCTGTTTGCTGATGTTTCTCTCTGCCCGAGTATATCTGTCAGCCTACATGCCTTCCTTCATAACCAGAAGAATGTTAAATGTCTTGGCTATGCTTCCTGCAAAGGATTTAGCAGCAGATTCAAAGGCTTTAACACAAACTTGAGCCTGGTAAAGAGTTCTCAGGCAGCAGAGACACTAGCAGGTGTCACATTTTGCTACAGGATCAGGCCAGTAGACTACAAAACTCCAAAGCATTAACTACAAAGAGTTGCAGAACTTCTCTGCATGACTACCCCCAAACACAAGGAAACAGAGGTGTTCCCTTGCAAACGCGCGAGTTCTGGGAGCTGCTCCAATCCACTGAGGCTGTTCCAAGTTGAATGAGCCACCCTTGCTTGCTCCTGTTGTATTCTGTAACCTGTGTCTTGTTCACCTTCCCAGCATGTGGCTAAAGCAGAGCCCCTCAAACAAGTGGTCTGGTCACTGCCTCCAAGCAGAGCAGAATGGATGCAGACGGGCCTTGGGGGACAACAAAGGGGCAGCTTTCTGCACTCTCCCCAAACAAAGGGAGCTGCTGAAAGGTGAGCAGGCTCGAAACAGAGCCTGGAGATCATCAGTGTGCTCAGGGTCACGTTGAACAGCTGCCTGAGTTACACAGTAGAAACAGCCGGTGGTTTGGGATCTGGAGTTGATGATAATTATCAATGCAAGATAGCTGGGCAGTGGAAAGTGTCACACTGCCCATCAGAAACACTGAAGGTTGTGGCTTTTCTCTACAGTTTGGTGAGGTTTTATCTGATCCATTGCACAGGGCCACAGAGAGCAGTGCCACATTGCTTCAGCAAGGGGTTAGCTGAGGGCAAGAGCTATGTGGAGCAGTAACACTGCTGCACGGTGAACAGGGACATCAAGTGCATCTTGAGACACAGGAAGGGCCTAGGGTTCCCCTTTGCCAGAGCTCTGGCCAAGCACGGTGCTCTCAACACTCTCTGTGCATCCCATTTAAAGGACTGTTCAGCACTTGGCCCAAATGGAGCAGCCCCAGGGTAGCTCTAAAACATGCTCCATAATGGCCCCACCAAGAAGCTGCTCTGCAGGCTGGAGCAGCTGTAACATCCCAACCACCCTCTGGGTCAGGCATGGAGAAGGGGCACATGCAGACCACTGCGCCCGCCCTCCACTACCTAGGGATCCCCTCCAGCTAGTTCTGTCTTCCTGCTTCTTCATCCTGCCAGAGAGGGACAACAGCAGCACTGCAGGCAGGCAGGGGAGGCTTGCTCCATGTGACCCTTTCTGCT